GATGAATAAGATTCAGACTGTCGACAATAATGTTAAATTAGTCCTTCTAAGATAAGTCCTTCAGAGACTTGGCGCTTTGTCGACAGTATTTCCCATAGGCTACTGACATCTGCTTTTACTCCATATTGAGGAGCAAATGATCAGACAGAAGATGTCTGTCTGTTTTCAACATGGAACTTTGCACCGATGTGCAGCAGTCCAAGTGACCCCACTCCCTCCTTTTAGCAAACAAAGCAAAGAAGAGATTAGAAGAAATGTAGAATAGAGACAGTAAACAGGGATATGAGACAAAAGGAGTAGTAATATCGAAGAACAATATATTTTCATGGAAAATTATAAGTCACAAAGAGTGGATGCATCTGCGCTAGCCATTGACAACGATCACTTTCAGCCATATCACACACCAACTGTCTCCAGACTTTATTGGTATTTACCGTCCAGAGATCCAAAATCAGGAAATCTAAACATTCTTACGTGGCGTAAACTGACTGTTGTGGATTTCATTGACTGATGAAGCCACGTTTTCGTTTGACCACCAGTGGCTCTTTTCCAATCTGACCCATCCTATATCAGCTAACACTGTTCATCGAAGAAGGCGATAGCTAGGGATGCATGCGTAACACATGTCCTAACCACCTCAATCGATGTAGCTTCACAACCTCGTCGATTGATTTCTCCTCCTTACCTAACGCTCGACCGATGCTTAATCTCAATATTGCTCACCTTATTTTACCACTTCACACGGGAGATAGAACGCAGGCACCTAAGATTAAAGACAGCTAGTCAAGTTTTTCATGTCTTCCACTCTCAATGGCCGGTTTCAGAGGCATAAAGGAGGACGAGGCGGACTGCCGAGCAGTACATACGTCCTTTGGTAGACAGTCAGCCGGATATCACGTCTACGCCAGAGATGGCGTAAACTGGCATATGCGAAACGAGGCTTCTGCATCCGTTCTGAGATTTCGTCAGAGATCAACCCGTAGGCACTGGCTGATACAACTTCCCAAATAAGTGAAGCGGTCAACGTGCTCTACCACTTCACTCCCTATTTCTAAACTAAGAGTCAGTGTAGTCCAGTTTAGTCCTGCAGAATCATCCTACATTTGACAGCACGTGCGTATCGCATGCCAAATACTCGCAGATTCCAGCTCAAGGTGTTCAGAAGATTCTGCATTTTGTCAGCGTCTTCATTTAGGAGAGAGTACTATATCATCTGCATATTCTAAGTCAACAAGATTATTCCCTGATGGTAACAAGTCAATCCCTGAGTCTCTGAAGTCAGGTCAATTACGGTTAAGTCCATTGGTACAATATCTCTGATGAAATTGAATAGAAATGGGGATAGTGAGCATCCCTGACAGACACCACTAGTTGTCACCACTTCAGATGACAACTCGCTGTAGGCTCTCACCTGGTTGACTGCATGAGTTCGAGTAGAGTGAGTGCTTTGATCAGTGCGACGTATTTTCTAGCCATTCCTTTTACAGCCAAGCATCGGCAGAGTACCTCTCGGTCGACAGAATCGAGTGTCGCCTTTATATCAAGAAGTATAACGATTGTTGGACGCCGGTAAGTATGCCACTTATGTTCCAGAATCTGTCAAAGAAGGGTGAAGATATGATCAATACACCCTCTTCCTGGTCTAAAATCTGTCTGTCTGGTTCTCTCGTGTTTGTGCCTCCCGATCACCACTTAGTCTACGCATTATTATTGAGCCTAGGACTTTAGATACCACAATATTAGTCAAGCTAATCCCCTTGTGATTATCACAGGAAGACTTGTCTCCCTTCTTGTATATGGGGATAATCAATGACTTACACACCAACCCGACGGGAATCCAACAAATATGCAGAAGGCAATGTAAGTGAACTGGGAACATGCAGAGATCGTTGAGTGACATTATGAGCGATAAAACCAAATGGGAAACGACAACTTCGGCGTCAGTCTGAGGAAGACATCAAGGAGACCGTATGAGGAGCAGATGAGAGCTTATTGGTAATCAAGGAGTCAGTTACAAAGGACTGTAAAGAGATGAGATTTAGATGAAATCAATGAGTCGGAGATCTTTTATATAGAAAGTCGAAACAAGTGATTCAGCAAAGAGACTCTTTTCACTAGTGATTTGGGCTAATTACTTTCATCTTGTAGATGACTTTAAAGACGGAGGCTATAGAGACAGGGTGATCATTATCGACCAGATGTTCAATGATGGAGCTTCTTATTGCTCCACTTCCATCTCTTCGTAACCATGCAGGATAGTGTTCTTGCACCCTCTTGGACAAAACTTGAATCCAACGACCGATATGCGCAGGTGCACACGAGCAGGTGAATTGATAAACACACATAGAGTTGGTCAGCTGCGAGATCTTGTTCTTCAGGTTATTGAATAGTAATGGTCGACTGGTAAAGGCTATTCTCAAAGATGCAGTAAGGAGTGTTCTTCTCAGGGACAATGTGAGATCCTTCCTTTAATGACATCAGAAGCCAAGTCACTTTTGAATTCCAAAGCTCATGTACAGTATTTTCTTCGGTACGGATGATAAGTCACATTTCATAAGATTTGACTGAATATTCTTGTCTATAAAAAGTGGTGGAAATTCATTTTCCATTAGGATTTTCCTCAAAAGATTTAACTCATCCTCCACAGTATCAGGACTACGTATGCGCCGAATGCAAGTGGCAAGTACCCAGCGTTAGAAATTTATCAGTTGACCATTCTATAACAACTTTCGATAAATCAATTTCTTCAGAGTTTCATCGGTCCTCCTTGATAAGTTCACATCGAGGAAATGAATACTAGACTCGTTCTCCATTTCGAGTGTGAATTTTATCGCCGGATGGCAACCACTAAATATATCTAATATGTTATTCAAATTATAATCATTATATATAGCAGGCTAAGAACTACACCGTCAAAAGACATGACATCCACTGCCTCACTCATATCACTGCATACAGACAACCATGGACATCAATTCGATTGGGACAACCAGCGTTCAAATATTAGAAAGAGGAAAAACACCAAGAATGCTAGAGAATTTTTAGAAGCCTGTCTGGTATTCCAGTGAATCGTCAATCAATAGACACATCGAGATAGACAAAATTTACCAACCGATAAGAAGGAAACCTCGCACACAAACGGTCAAAGTTCAAGTCAAAGAAACAATGAATTGCAATACAAGTAGCCTAGAAGGTGCGAAATCACATAAAAACAACCAATCACGCCCAAGAGCACCGGGAGAGATGATTAATAAACTCGTGGAGAAATCTAAAAGCTCTAAAAGTATGCACTGAAGATGTCACCTAGTAGGGTGATGAAAGCTTCGCAAATTAACTATCCAGCTCAGAGAACACAACCACCCCAAAATCATCCACCTGAGTTACAAAAATGGAGATGCATCGGGGACACACACACACATTGAGGAGATTGCTGAGAACCTGAATAGGGAGTGAGTTGAGCGTTCAACCTCGGGGTGACATGGAAAAGACCTTGTAAGGAGGAGATGAAAGTTTATGAACCATCATGGGACCAGCCGTGTGTTCAACCACTCGGAACCCAAGATAATAACAACCAATAATTTAAAAAAAAACACCAGACATTATGATAAATACATGCCATTTTCAACGAAAAAAAACTGGAGCATAAATGTCCTTCAATACTTTCACAATCAATGAAAAAATAATTTTATGAGAATGCCACTTACAATAAGACGATTGAATGCTCTTTTGGTTTCAACAATAAGGCGGGATAAGAAATTACCAATAAATGTCACTTGTACTTTGGTCACATCTGATGATGGCGTTGATGCTGATTGTTGTGACTGTAACTGTTTCGGATTGCCTCCAGTCATATCGACTATCCCACTATTCTGAGCAGATTCATTCTCTGTGATACGTGTTACTACCACAGTGCCCAAGTTTTACACATATACTAACACAGCACCATTTCATGACTTTTAATCGTCTAGGAAGCCTCGTTTCAACTACAGTCGAAACAGATAACGATGTCAAAGCCAGAATCAGGAAGACATGACAGACCTTCATCACTCAGAACAAAGAACAAAATTCAGATATTCAAAACCAATGTTAAGTCAGTCACGTGAATCACGACAAGCATTTCCAGCAGGTTATTGTAGACTTTTACCAACAATTGATCTATTCGCTGGCTCCATACTGAAAATAAGATGACCAGCCAGAAAGAATTAGCAACAAGATACTCTGGGAACGCGAACCAACCAAGATCCCATTGCTCAACGAATATTCCAAAGAAAATGGAGATGCATCGGGGACACACATTGAGGAGGTTGCTCAGAACCTCAATAGGGAGCGAGTTAAGCGTTCAACCTAGGGTTGTGGTGAGAGCTGGCTGCCATTCAAAATTAGTAGACAGTAATTTACGTCAATGTTTACGTCCCCAATATTGGTCGTGAGAGAAATAAGAACAAAGACTGACTCAACAACCAACCACAGCACACTTTGCGTAGGCAGATACAATTTGCAGATAGATAATCTGAACTTCAAGAAACGGCCACAAAGAGATGAAAGATTAACGTTTAACGAGAAACCACCATTCAGAAGACTGTGTTTGTTTGCTTACAATAATCTATAATAATGTACATGAAAATCTATAAATATCTGTTGCCTGGCCCTTGTCTTCTGTTGTTACAGGGTGACATGGAGAAGACCTTGTACGGAGGAGATGCGAGTTTATCAACCATCATGGGACCAGCTGTGTGTTCCACCACTCGGAACCCAAGATAATAACAATCAATAATTAAAAAAAACACACAGACATTATGATAAATACATGATAAATACGGGAGCATAAATGTCCTTCAAGACTCTCACAATCAATAAAGAATAATTTCATGAGAATGCCACTTACAATAAGACGATTGAATGCTCTTTTGGTTTCAACAATAAGTCGTGATAAGAAATTACCAATAAATGTCACTTGTACTTTGGTCACATCTGATGGCGTTGATGCTGATTGTTGTGACTGTAACTGTTTCGCACTGCCTCCAGTCATTTCGACAATTCCACTATTCTGTGCTGTTTCATTCTCTGTGATACGTGAAATTGATATAAGTAATGGCATAATAAGAATTGTTAATAGCTGTTCACAATTTACAACTAAATTCAGCACATCTTGTTCAACACCATCGAACAGCTGGAACATACAATCCAATAGGCTGGGTAGTTCATCACCGGAATAGACCTTGTGGGTATTAGGCTAAGGGGAAAAATGAGAGAGAGGGGAAAAAAGGATACAGGGTATCAATAAGGTGTAAAATTGAAGCCACAATAAGTACACATACATAATACTAAACTGAATCATCCTGGAGAAAAAAAAGATGAACTGGATGAAGAATCCCGCTACACGGAGTAAGCTGGATTCAGGAAAGGCAAATCATTTGCAATGAATAGTGTTCTCCGAGCTGGTTGGTTTAGTTGTGGAGCTTTCGTCGTCCTTCTGGACAACAATCCTCTTCAGCGCAATTTTTAGCATATGGTGAAATGATTTAAATTTCTTCATGAGTGATATAATTGCGTCTCCCGGTAACCATCTTTACATACGTATTGACCATTTTCTATTGACTTGGATTTTAAACTTTCTGGTCAGCTGATTTACTTTTTATTAGTTGGTATATTTCGTCTATATTAACGTGTTTATTAATCGCATATTCGTTTGAGTATCAGGCTTCTAGGAATTCTCTGACAGCAGTTTTGGTGTTTCCTCTGGCTAGTAACAAAACAGGAATATGTTGGACCACCGATAAGAAGACTTTGGAAAATCTCGATTTCGAGGTGGATGATTCATGTATACTGTCATACAAATTCGAAGACTTGCAGGCGAAAACCAACAAACTGCCTGAAGAGGCAAGCAGCGAAGACAGGATTCCAAGTGAACATAAAGAAGACGGACGGAGGTGATGAAGATAACCAAAGAGCCGCAACCACAAGAACAATCAGCACCAATCACCATCAACGGGTGAGAATCAACACAGGCTGCTTCCTTCACTTATCTGATTAGGAGGCATTGTTTTAATCACAGGCAGGCGGAAAGGATGAAGAAGTCAAATCCAGTCAAAATCGGAAAGGCAAGATACGCCTTCATCAACATGAAACCGGTTTGGAAATATTCTGCACTCCGCCTCAGCATAAAGAAGAAGATTCGGGCTTCTAAACACCAATTTCTCTAAACGAGTCAGAAAATTCCACTGAGTGTCACGAAAAGAATTTCCAACAGGTTGCTGTAGACTTTCATCAACAGCTGCCACCTTCGCTAACTGGCTGGCTCCACACTGTAGATGAAATGGCCAGCCAACCAGAGAAAATTAGTAACAAGAAACGCTAGCTGGCGACAAACCAACAAAGAGCCGATTGCTCAACAAATATGTATGAGAAAATGGAGATGGATACCTCGGGCATATATTGAGGAAACCGTCGAATGACACTGCACCCAATATGGGCGATTACGGACCAAGCTGAAGAGGGCAGCAGAAAATAGAACAAGGTGGAGATGCATTGTTGAAGCCCTATGTTTCACTCGGAATCCAAGGAAATATTAATAAAAATATAGATACATACATAAATATGTATACCAGCTGCGGAGGGATGGATTTAGTGAACACGATGCTTTTGAAACAGCATGAAAGGAAAACATGAAAGGAAGACAAAGAAGCACAGTACGAAAGATTTGTGAAAATTGTGATACTGATGTGTGTTAGACATATTTTCCCTACTTAAGTATATCGACCGGCCGACGCGCTCCTTTACTTCGCTAAGCCAGAAATAATGCTGGTAAAGAGGAAAAGGTTGGGCATGAGGCTAGCAACCCCATCCTGTAAAAATTAAACACTGCTACAGAAACTTCAAGCCACTAGCTTGAAAACCTATGTTCCACTGGGAACGTGAAGGAAAAAAAAGTATATCGAGTTGTCAGTCAACAATCCCGTTAACAAATTCTTTCGTCTTCTTCTAATTCTTCAGACTTCAATATCCCCATGAAAAATTAGATCCGAATTTTCAACTCCAATGTGAGATCAGTGCAACTATATGGACCAGAGACTTGGCGCCGTGCCGCTCCGCGTCACAAAGGGCGAACTACAGACCTTCATCAACAGCTGTCTTCACTCAGTACTCAAGATCAGATGGCCGACCAGAAACGATCACCAATAGTAAGGGATCTCTGGGAGCAAACCAACCCATCAGGAACCAATTGTGCAATAGATATGAGGAAGAAACGAAAGTGAACTGGCCATACTCTGAGGAAACAAACTATCAAGTGAGTGACGTCACCAGCCAGGCTCTCTCTCTCGAGTGGAACCCGAATAAGAAGCGGCGAGTTGATCGTCAGTGCGAGAGTGACATGGAGGAGGAGGTCATGTAAAGGGGAGATGAAAGCATGTGGGCAGATGTGGATACAGGTGATGAAAACGTTGGGGGAGAACCGAACGCAATGGAGACGTCCGACTGAAGCCGTATGTTCCTCTAGGAACTAAAGGAAACAATAATATAATAATAAAATCACCATTTCCAACAAGGCTAGAAAAAGTGTTCCTGAAGGCCCTAAAATGTCAAAAAGATGGTTCGGATAGCGATCAGACAAAACGCAGTTGCCATCCTCTTATAAGTTTTCTACGCAATTTTTGGCGGGGGTGAGGGTCTTTCTTTGGGAGAATTTATACTGCTGATGAACAGGGATGTCACAGCAGTAAGGTGTTGCCCTGACATGACCAGCATGCCAACAATGCTACTTCTCAGATCTGAAAGCAGGCTTAGAAAAGGTCGATCCCAAAAATTGTACATCCCTCTCACAGTTTATCGGTGGCCAGCTTAAAACTTGGACTACCACCAAATCTCTAGGGATTCTCTAAATAATTGTGTCTATAGAATAAAATTCTTGGAATAAGATGCGATATACGTTGGAAAAACATCTCGAGAAAAAAAGCAATCAGAAAAAATGAACACCATAGAGCAATTTGAAAATAAATAAATAAAAAAAGTATCTTCAACTCACCGATTTATCACTTGGTGGATGTAAATTAAAACCGAAAAACTGATTTACAAACGCCTGTTCTGTACGTATTACTGTCAGAATTTTATCGAAACAATTATCAAATATCTAAAATGGAAATTATGAATAAAAAAACTAAATAAAGAAATAAAGAAGAAATAAGTAACATTAATACTTTTTATTCTATAGTTTAGTTTGTAAGGGTTAGTTTTGTTTTTACGAGTTGATCACGGATTGATATCAGTTAGCGAACCATTGAAAACACTCCAGGGAGTACTGGACAGCTGCTGTTTCATCCTAGTGCTTGGGAATCATCGGCAGTACACACCCACTTGGGTTCGAACCCAGCATCTTCCGGTTACAAGGCAAGCTACATCGTATACCATTCAGCCACTGGGACCTGACTGTTCAATGGCTAGCCCATGCATGCATTTTAACTTCTATCAATTCGTGATTTAGCGTGACCCCAACCATTATCGTAGGTAGGACATCTATCCTCACAAGTGACATCTGGATTCACCTCACTGGTCACGACTTCTCACTAGAACTGACTCCAGGAAACTCCATCCAGTAGTAAGTCACTAGTGAGCATCAAATTAATTTTCTATAGTTGGTTTGTAAGGGTTAGTTTTGTTTCTTTACGAGTTGATCACGGATTGATATCTTTTATTCTTTTTTATTTTGATTACAGTTTGATGCCACACCGTATTTTCAGTACAAGTATGGAATTTTCAGCATGGATATTGGTAGCCCAAATTTTGCAGGCCGACCATAGATATCGGGTGTGCGTCGGCAGGGGATCGAATCCCGGACCATGTGTATGGTCGGTGAGAGCCCTAACCACTGTGCCACCAACGCACAGAGAACCATTGAAAAGTCATTTTAAATTGGCTTCATGAATAATTGCCTTAAGGCTATTCTATCCTCTTCAGAAGCTCTCCGACATGATGTAAGATGATGCTACAGGACTGGACTGGACTGGACTACATGGACTCACTCCTAGCTTAAAGATAAGCAGAAGTGAAGTACTGAGTGGAGCGTGTTGAACAACTTCAGAGAGGTGGTCACTCACGAAATCTCGCCACAGATACAGAAGGATCGTATGGCATTTGACGCCAACTTACGACATCTCTAGGTTAATAGAGGTGAAATCCTGTTGGCTATCGATCAAACGGCTTGTGTACTGCTCAGCAGTTTGATCTGTCCTACTTAGTGGCTGTGAATGACACGTAGCGACTGAAAGCGGAAGATTCAAAAAGGCCGGTTAGCTGTCTTTGAGCATAGGTGTCTGCCTTCTATATCCCATATGTTAGGTGATAGATACAATAGGGTGAATAGCATTGAGGTTAAAAGCCAGTCGAGTGTAACGAAAGGAGGGGAAATCAGTCGACGAGATTGTAAAGTTACACCGACTGAGGCAATGGTTAGGACATCTGTTACTCATGCATTCCTAGCCATCGCCTTCCTGGACGGGCAATGTTAGCTGACATAGCATAGATCAGGTTGGAAAAGAGGCAGTTGTGGTCAAACCAAAACATGGCTTGATCAGTTAGTCAAATCCATAACAACAGTTAGTTTAAGCCAGGCACGTAGGGAGATGTAAACGTCCAGGGTCGGGAAATGTTCTTTCCAATGCATCTTTAATTGTACCTTTTGTACGTTAGATAGATAAACCGGTTTCCTTTCAAATATTTCGAGTTTCAGTCGAGGTGGTTTTTCCTTCCCATATTCTGATATGAACATCCGAGAATATCCACTTCCGATAAGGTTCTTTTCTATGCATGCAAGTTCCTCTTCGATCTTATCTTTTGAATACAACGCTCTAGCTCTGCTGAGGAGCCTATTCACCAGGCTCCATTTGTCGCCCATCGAGCAGAAACTGTAATAATTCAAGTATTGGCCAGTTCATGTTTCTTTCCTGTAGATGAATTTTCTAATTGACCTATCATTTGTTCTTTTTAAGTTGAGATCTAGGAAGTGGAACTGATTTTTGCTTTCATGGATGCGTGATTCATATTGTTGCAAACCGCACACGTTTGAAAGACACTTTGCGAAATAAAATGAGCTCGTATTACCGAAACTGCAAATATCTTCGTTCTTTCTTTATTCAAAATACGCATAACTGCATGATGACAGATGTAATGACATGTTCGAAATCCAAAATATGATGTACGCATTTACCGAATCCGACGGAAACCAATAAGTTCTACGATCGATCCAACGTAGGATTGAAGGAAATCATACAAGTAAACGAATCACCATATTAATTCATCCTACAATAATTGCTAATTCTTATGATGCTACTTATTACGACAACAGTAGTATCGTTAATATTTACAAAATAAAAGGAAGTACCATGGTGTGTGCGATAGGATATTCATTTAAAAGAACCACTTACATTTTCAACTTGAGAGAGAAAATTTGAATCAGAAACTTGTAATGACATTACACTGCCAACATCAGATGGTATATTATCAAGACGTTGTGAATCCTTAGCTACATTTAAAAAAGAAAAACAAAAAAAGGTGATGAATACGAATAAATCGAGGAGGAACTCGAAGTTGAAACATTTCAACAAATCAAAATAAGTTGATTTGGAGCGAACAACTGTGGTTAAGATGAATTCTCCTTTACCTCAGGTTCTACCTGTTTTAAATCCACGAGTATTAGAAGAATACAAATAGCCATTAAAGGCATGCGTAAATTATTCCATATTAGTTTGTTTATTAGATGTATCACACAGTGAAACAGTATTATTTAATGGATGACAAAGTTTCGAACACAATTTATTTATTGTTCATAATCATATCAGTTATAATCACACAACTTCGAAACTTGAGTTTTGTAGTTTCGTTTGTTCTCTCCTATTTGTCATCCTTGGATTAGTAGATTTTTCCGGATATCCAAGTGGATAGGTGTTGAATCATTCCTATTAGAGTTGACTCGATAAATAAAGCTTCCGTTATCAATCTTTCCCTCCACCCTGCTGTTACATTAGATTTTAAAACTGTTGTCTTATCCCACCCTATTCTATGGTTGTGTGTAATTGCATGTAGTGCTATAGCTGAACTATTCTCTAGATTTCTTATCTTATTCGGGTTAACCAATCTAGATTTCACTGCTAGGTTTTTATGCTGGGCTAGTCTGACTGCACCCGTTGCCTCCACCTTTGAGTTAATGTGTCCGAAAAATCTATCTATTTCCTGTGTTCTAAGTACAGTGAATGTGCCACCTACATACCTCCACCATACATTCGTGGTGGGGTTGAACTTTTCAATCGCCATGTTTTCCCAACTATGCATGAATACATTTGCTACAACTGGGGATATTGGTGACCCCTTGGCAACTCCCTCAGTTTGGTTGTATATTTTCTCTTGGAATTTAAATACTATGGAAGTCAGGCATATCTGCACTCAAAGCACTATGTCCTCAAATGGCACTTTCGTCCTAACTTCGAGTTGTTGGTCAGAAATGAGTTCGTTTCTGACTGTCTCCATAGCCATACGTGTATACGTGTATATAAACTGACAATGTCAAAACTAACCATTTTCTCTTCATTATCTAATTTTTAATTATCTAATCTATGTTTCAGTTCATAAGAATTTGTTAGTCTAGATTTCGAGTGGATTTTTAGGGGATTTAATACCATGGCTAAATATTTAGATAATTCATAAGCAGATGAATTTCTAAAATCAACTATAGGCCTAATGTGTAAATTATATTACAAACTGTCTGTATTGCGGTGCATTTATAATATGGAGTGATACTTCGGTGTTCAATATTGTCAAATGAACGTATATTAAATATTCAGTCAGTCATTCATAATATCACATAAAATATAAATATACAAATTCGTGATATACTAATGTATTTATAGTCAACAGAATATAAGGTTCATTGAGGGCGAGGTTGAGTTATACTCTGTTGTGTGCGAGGAGAATGATTACCACAAAATACACACAAAAGAATACCAACAACAAATGGGAAACACTGAATGTAACTTCAAGCGAGGGTTGACAGATTTCAAGTGTAGTGATAGAATAAAGAGGTTAAATTGTGAACTGTAATAAAATACTGGAGATATAATGAGATGCTTAGTGTAAATCACATAATAATTATTATTGTTTCCTTTAATTCCCAGGGGAGCATAGGGCTTCAACCGCATGTCACCAATGCGTTCAGTTCTCTACAAACGTTTTCATCACCTGTCTCCACATCTGCCCACATGCTTTCATTTCCCCTTCACATCACTTCCTTCATGTCACCTTCACACTGACGGCCAACTAACTCGCCGCCTCCAATTTGGCTTCCACTCGAACGATTGCGTGGCGTGTGATGTCACTCACTTGATGGTTTGTTTTCTCAGAGCATGGCCAATTCACCTCCATTTCTTCCTCATATTTGTTGCTGGGTTGGTTCGCTCCCAGAGATCCCTTACTATTCATGATCATTTCTGGTCAGTCATCTGATCTTGAGTATTGAGTGAAGACAGCTGTTGATGTAGGTCTGCAGATTGCTCACATTGAAGTTGAAAATCCGGATCTTACTTTTCATGCTGAGTGCTGCTGACCTCCACATAGATTTGAGAGTAATGAAAGCTTGCCTTGCTTTCCCGATTCTGATGCTTTGATATCCTAATCAGTTCCGTCCGCCTGTAGTTGAAACGATGCTTCCCTGGTAGGTCGGTAGGTGAAGGAGGTTGCTTCTTTCAGATTCCTCAAATTTATCCTGCCTGATTGTTGTCTATTGTTCTTGCTGTTGTTGTTGGCCAAGAGTCTTCATCACCTCTGTCTTATCTATGTTCACCTGAAGTCATATCTTTTCTGGATGCTTCCTCTGTCAACTTGGTGCTTTTCATTTGCATATCTTCTAATTTTGTTGTCTTAACCAACTGGCGAACTTCACAACAACGTAAAAATTACCTCATACTGTAGAACGATAATTCAGTTACTGTATGCATAAGCTGGGATTTGTAAATTCTGGTTTAATATTACTACCTTGACAGCGAAACGTCTGTCAGAACAATAACAGTATCTTCACGAGTTGGTTTGTTATGATTAAATTTGTTTTTACGAGTTGGTCACGGATTGATACCAGTTAGAGAACAATTGAAAACCAGGGAGCACTGGACAGTTGTTTCATCCTAGTGCTCGGGACTCATCGGAAGTACGCACCCACCATATGAGTTCGACTTCAGGACCTTCCGGTTATAAGGCAAGCTACCTCATACACCATTCAGCTACTGGGACCCAACTCCTCAATGGCAAGCCTATGCAGGAATTCTAACTTCTACCAATTCGTGATGCATTTAGCGCGACTGGCACCAACTAATGTCATCGGTGAGAGATCCATTCTCATACTTGACTGGTTGGACCTCTCTGGTCACGACTTCTCACTAGAACTCCAGGAAATTCCGTCCTGTAGCAAGTCCCTAGCGAGCATCAGATTAATTTTCACGAGTTGGTTTGTAAGGATTAGATTTGTTAGATGGAATTCCCACCGATAACATTAGTTGGTGCCAGTCGCGCTAAATTACAAATTGGTAGAAGTTAGAATTCATGCATGGGCTAGCCATTGAGGAAACCGGTCCCACTGGCTGATTGCTATACAAGGTAGCTTGCCTTGTAACGGGAAGGTCCTGGGGTCGAACTTATGTGGTGGATGCGTACTGCTGATGAGTCCCAAGCGCTAAGATGAAACAGCTATCCAGTGCTGCCTGGTTTTCAATTGTTCTCTAACTGGTATCAATCTGTGATCAACTCGTAAAAATAACAGTATCGTTTGGTCTTTTTCATTCATTGGGAAATACAAAAAGGCTTTTTACAATATAATGAATATCAAATACCTAATGTCCAAATGTTTTCAAACTGTTAAAAGTGAACTTGGTTTGGACAGGCGTAATCTTCTTTATTCCTTTACATTCCCAGTGGAACATAGAGGTTTGAAGTTTCGGTAACAGGGCTGTGATGTTTATTTTCAAGGGATGGGGTTGCTAGCCTCATGCGCAGCCCAACCTTCCCCTCTTTACGAGTCCTAATTACTGGCTTAGCAAGGTAAAGGAGTGCGTCGGTGGCCGGGGATCGAACTCCGGACCACCTGAATGGCTGGCGAGCATTCTACCACTGTCTCAAAATAATCATTAAAATGGTATTAAAATGTAGCAATATCATAGAAAAAGAAAGATCTCATTAAATGACCACTACTCACCTTTACTTGGACGTACAAGAGCTCTTATAGAATCTTCAGTGAATTTCAATACTTCTTGAATTTGTCGTCTAAAGAAACTTTGGGATTTTTTAACATACATCTGTACAAAATGGAAAAAAACGTTAATGAGATAGATAGGTGGGTATAAAACAAGAGTGGTATTCAACAACAAACAAATGCGCATATAACCAAAATCGGAAAACTGTTTCGTCCCAGTCTTAGACTCTTCAGCAATATGCATATGTACTAATAATCAGATATCTGGGCTTAAAAGATCTTTGTCAGTGAAGAGAAATGTAGATTTTAGAATTACAATGCAGTACAACAACCTCACAAAGAGACTGATGACTGAAGGAGAGACCATGAAAAGTTAGGACTTTTCAGAATTCCAAATTAGCTATGTCTGATTGAACTTTGCACAGGGATGCAACAGTCCAAGTATCCACACTCTGTATGTAGCACACAAAGGTGTAGGAAACAGAGGGGGATAACAGTCTCAGAAGGACCATAAGAAGAAGAGGTCTGCAGGAGAAGAAAAATAATAACATGGAAAAATTTTATTTAATGTATCTAGGAGCACTATTCAGAACGACTCTGAACCTCATCACCAATAGTTTGAAGTCATTGGTTCACAGTACCCAGGGGACGCCAAACAAGTTGCCTACACCTCCCTCCTTACCCGTCTGGCTGAAACTAATCGTCAAACACTCCATGAACTGATGCCGAGTTTTCGTTTAGCCACCACCCTAATCCTATTTCAGCTAATATTGCTCGAAAAAAAATGCGGTGACTCAGCATGTGTAGCACATGTCCAAGCTGTCTGAATCGATATGGCTTCACAATCACACTGGCTGACTTTGTAATACAACGTATTGTTTTTTGAAAACAGAGGCCGTTTTAGGTCCCGAAGAGTCAGTGATTTGGCTATCTGCAAGAACAGCGTATTCGAAGTTCTTTTCGTGCTATATATTGAGGAACTCTATGTATCACTGTGAATCCATCATGCAGGGGTGCTCGACGTTCAAAGTTATAACAAGCTTCTTTCGAAGATATAACTATTGGTATTTCCTTTTGAAAATGAGTCGTTGAAAAGAATATTCAATGAGATTATTCAAGATGCTCTTAGAGTAACATACTGACATTGATGTAATCGATGATGACATAACTCTAATTTCCTGATGTCTCCTTTATAGCTGTAAGAAATGACCACTGAAGGTGGAAGATATATAGAAAGACTAACACTGTTTTCGACTATGTAATCTAACGTAAAGTGGTATAGTATGCTGAGTAATATTTAGATTATGCGTAGAGTGTTGTGTTATGTTATGTAACAATAAACTCCACGGTTTTAAGTCTTGATAAAGGCGCAAAGTTTTTTTCAAGCTTCCTACACTACTGCTTCTAACTCTATTCCTAGGGCACTTTTAATAAGCAAGGTAATTTCAGCTCGCACTTAGTCCTGAGTTACAGGGTGGCTGTCTTCCTATTTTTCGGGTAGGAACCAACATACTGTTTTATTAAATTTAAATGGAAAGCGCTCCACTTTATTTCCTGGGGGAAACTGGTGTGCCCCTCTCCATTTCTATCTTCTTTCTTCTGTATTCTTCCAAAGCTAACTTTATTAAATATGCCGACGATCAAACCATTTTTATCTCAGTAGTTTCTGCTGTGGATTGTTCTCATATGAATAAATTCTTATCTGAAGTTAACAAATGGTCTCAACTCAATGGTCTTAAACTGAATCCATCTAAATGTCATATTGTTGATTTTCGTATCAGATTTTTGTAATATTGACGGTACTGTATGATAGGGAGTAAATCGAATATCTCTTATCTTGGCATCAGTTCCTCTTTGAATCTCCTCCATTGGTCGTCTCACATCTTGTTGAATTCTAAGCACAAAATTTTTCGTTTGACTTATTACTACATAAAGAAGTTGAGATTTTCTGGCATCATAACTCAACCTCTTGTCTTACAATTTATTAATTTGATTGGTTTGAGGACTTCATCATGAGCTGACATCAGATACAGAACCATTGGAAAACCAGAGTTGGTTTGTTCTAATATGGGACTCTTCGTCAGTACGCACCCACCGCCACGGTTCGAACCCAGGACCTTTTGGTTACAAGGCGAGCTCGTAGATCCAATTGTCAATGAATTCTAGCTTCTGCCAAGAAGTTGAGACCTTCTGGCACCATAACTCAACTTCTTATCTTACAATGTAATAATTCATGTATTCTGCCTATTCACCTTCTTTATTGTTCGCCCCAGTTATTCTTCCCTGGAGTTCTCAAAAAAAGACTATTTCATATTACGTAGAACAGAGAAGACTGTGAGTAGGGTCAGTGGTGTGCTATCTTTGACTCAACTGACTGACATTATTGTCAATAGGCACTTCAATTCTTGCAGGCAGTTAGCTAAAGTTACCATGTCTGATACCGAACATCCTCTCTGCTTATTCGCAATTGTCTCCGTGGATCTCTTCGAGAGTGGAACCAGAAGAAATTTCATAGGAATTGGCACTCGTACAACTAAATATAACAATTCTAACATACCATATTTAGCGCGGATTTTGTGTAAAGGGAGGTGAATGTCAGAAAAAGACTTATAAACTTTTTAAATCAGGAATCTGAACTACAAAGTATAAGCAAAGATTATTAATACTATTACATATATTATCTATGTTACCATCTACGTATACTTCATTATGTCTCCACCAACATTCTGTTTATAGTGGTCTCATTATTATTAATATCAATATTATTATTACTGCTATTTTAAATTTTATGTATGTGCATATTTATGTAAAAGGAGGTGAATTGTTACAGTATGTATAAAAACAACGCTGAAAATTCCATCCTGTATAATCATTATTGTTGTAGGAAACAAATCACTGACTGGTTTCAACATAGAACTACTTTGCACCGATGTGCAGGAGTTCAAGTCGCCACACTTCACTCAGCACACAAAGCCGGAGAAGAAATCAAAAAGAAATGCAAAATAGAGACAGTAAACCGAGATATGAGGCAAAAAGAATAGTAATATGGAAGAACAATATACTTTCGTTGGATATTATAAGTCATAAGGAGTGCATGCGTCTGCGTTAGCCATTGAGAACGATTCTGAGCCATATCACCAATTGTCTCCAGTCATTAAACGTGGTGTCTGTACCAGTGTCATCTTTCTGGAGCCGATCTAAATTTTAGGCCAATCGCCATCACGTCTCTATTTTTAAAAACTATGGAGAAACCACTCTTGCATGTTCTTAAACCTTTCATTGAAATCCTCTAATGATCCAAAGTAGTTTGCTTACAAATGCGGTAGGAGTACTTTAGACGCTATCATTGTACTCCATCACAATATTGTTTGAAGTCTTCATTAAGGTGCCAAGTTTGTTCGAGACTCCTTTTTAGACTACACTGCTGCTTCTGACTCTATTCCCAGGGCACTTTCACTAAGCAAGCTGATTTCAGCTGTCACTGAGTTCTGGGTGGTCACAAGGTGGCTGTCTTCTTATATTCCGGGTAGAAAACAACATACTGTTTTGAAAGGAAAGCTCTCGACTTCTTTGTTAACGGAAACTGGTGTGCCTCAATGCGCTGTAATCTCTCCATTCCTTTTTTCTTCCTTGTTGCATGACCTTCCAAGGCTTACTTCGTTAAATATGCAGATGATCTAACCATTTCTGTCCCAGTAGTTTCTGCTTTGGATTGTTTATATATTATTATTATATGTATTATCTATGCTACTATCTACTTATACTTCATTATGTTTCCACCAACATTCTGTTTAAAGTGGTGGTTTCATTAATAATAATATTATTAGTACTATTTTAAATTCTATGTATGTACATATTTATGTAAAACGAGGTGAATTGTTGGAATATGCGTAGAAATGCTGAAAATTCCATCCTGTATAATTATTATTATTGTTTGGAATAAAGTGATTATTATTACTATTATTAGAGATTTCCATTGAGAAGTGAGAGCAGAATAGTGAGATGGGGTAGATATAAGGAACTTGGATATTACAGTCGCGAAAACAGGATAAAAGCGGTGTCATTACGCATGTTGGATGACCGTTGATAATACTTCCCGGCACTCTATTGGGTGTCACCACTGGGTTTGACTCAGATACGTTTAACAGATGCATTTGTATTTAACAATATTTTGGTGACTGTAAAGCACATTGAAGTATACGGTTTTGAACTGATACACTGTTGAGAATTTCAACTTGAAACAGTCAGGCAATCGGCTGATTTACTTAACTTAGTTCAATATAAACTTCATGCAATGCAATTGTATATGGAACAAGGATGTGTAGTCATGAAATTGATGATGACTTGTCTGAACAACCTAATCGAATGCTGCACTAATTTGTTTCTATTACAGAATTAATTTGCAGTATTTGTTCGATTCGGATTATGCGTCAGACTGTGCACAGGGAGCGAGGAGTTAGGAATACACTGGACGACCGATAAGAAGACTCTAGAAGATCTGCGTTTGAAGATGGATGATTTATGTCTGATGTCACACAAACTCGAAGACTTGCAAGCGAAAACCAACAAACTGGCTAAGAAGGCAGGCAGCGAAAACAGGACTCCAGGTGAACACAGAGAAGACGGAGGTGATGAAGATAACCAACGAACAGCAACAACAACAACCAGCACCAATCACCATCAAAGGGAGAGATTTGAAAGAGGTTACTTCCTGTCTTCACTTCTCTAGGAAACATCGTTTCAACTACAGGACGGCACTAACTAAGCATAAGGAACCAGATTCGAATTTTCAACACCAATATCAAGTCGGTTCTTCCATGCGGGTCAGAAACTTGCACTGCGTGTCACGAAAAGGATTACCAACAGCCTGTTGCAGACTTTCATCAACAGCTGCAACCTTTACTGGCTCCATACTGAAGATCAAATGGCCAGAAAGAATTAGTGACAAGAAACTCTAGCTGGCGACAAAACAACCAAGAGCCGATTGCTCAACAAATATGCAGGAGAACATGGAGATGGATCGAGTATACAATTGAGGAAATCGTCGAATGACATCACGCTCAATGCAGGCCATAGTTCGAGTGGAATCCCAATGGGAAGCACGCGACGAGTGGGTCATCGGTGTGAGGGTGACATGGAAGCGACCGTGTTAGGAAGAGATGAGGGAGTTTGGTCAATCGTGGAGCAAGCTGAAGATGACAGCAGAAGATAGGACATATTGGAGATGTGTTGTTGTAGGCCTATGTTCCACTCGGATCCCAAAGGAACAATAATAATATTAATAATTTGTTCGATTCATGTGAGTCTAGATTTCAAAACACAGGTCTAACTTTCCATACATTATCGATCTAAAGACGTGCAGAATCATGTCTCAACATCATTATCAGTTCCTGGAGATGATGCTTACACATCATCATTTAAAGACGCTGGTCCCATGAATTTCCATCGACTTTCAGAAAAGTACGACTTATTACTGCCACTAAAACGACCTAATTGTCTTAGCCGTATGAACGTGGGCCGCTAAGGATCTCTTACACTAACCACGAACCTCCAAAGCCAAAACGTAAACCACTACTAGAAAATGAAAAAATAAAGGAATAGAAGACGGACCAAACCTTCAAAAAAGAATGCGAAAGACAAAAAGTGACCATTCATGATGATGCACAGAGAGAAAAGAAATTTAGTGAAGATCCTTAGCCACAGAACTAGAGCTATATGCTCAGAAGAAGTAAGTGAAGATGAATTGAGTATTGTATATGATACTTTGATCGAAAATAGCTACCCTGACAAATTTATGAAGAAACACATGACAAAGGAAACGGAAAAGGACTACTCACTATCTGTAAACAAGAAGCCACTTTATATACGACTACAATTCAAGGGCGACGTACCAAGTGAGATAATTTACGAAGAAATAAGGAAAATCAGTTCAAAGAACTTTTAATGCTGTGGAACTACACGTCTCATTCTCTACATGACCGATGGTGCTACCTCGACTGAAAGATAAAGTACCTAGACTAGCTAGCCACTTGTAATTGTATCTACCAATTCAACTGCGCTTGTGGAGCGAGTTATATCGGCAGTTGCTCTAGGAACTTGATTTTTCGTGCTCGGTCGATAAATTGCCAAAATCATCGAGGCACCGCATACTCCAAACAGCAGAGGCTATTGCGATTCGCCTCAAACAACCAGTGCTTTGTGTTCAAAAGAAACAAGTCCAGCCACTACTACTGCCCTGGCCTTCAATAGGGACTGTAAATTCACGAATTTGTAATATTATCTTTCCTAATTTTTCTGACATTCAGCTTATTTTATGTTAATGCTATCAAACTGTAATCCATTGATATTGTTATAACTGATTCGATGTTATTCAAACAGCATTAATGTTGTTCATTACACTAATTCATTCATTCACTATAATGTATATATAACTGTAGAGCCTGATGATGAAGTTATCGAAAAGAGTATTCTTTGTTCAGTATCCATTCTTTAGAAAAGGAATACTAAATATTATAGACAACAAAAAAATAGCACGTGTACAGAACACACATAATTACCCTTTTAATTTCAATATATAAATCTTTTCTATTCGTTTGTAGCCAATTGCCAATCAGTGGTGCTAATTGTAACAGACCAGTACGTTGTGTTGCGTACACCTCTGAGGCGACATGAAACGAGTTGGAGATAATTAAAGAGTGTTTTTTATTTTTCTCTAGTGTACCGCCGCCACCACCTCCAGCAGTAGTAGTAGTACTTCCATTTCCAGGACTGCCAGGTACTCCTAACGAGGATGCTGAATCATTATTCAACGATGGTAGACTCACACCAGTATTCACGATAAAACCAAGTTGACTAGCAAATCGTAACATTGTATCATTCACGTAACCGGAGAGTTTTACTGCGAAAGCATCACGTAAATTTCTCAGCTCTCCCATTCTTTCTTCAACCGCTTGAAGATGTTCTTGACCTGTATTTTTTGGGGGGAGAGGAGAAGGGGGCACCGGTCGGGACAGGGGATTTAAGGAATAACAAATTTGAAAATGAATGAGCTTATTAATTTCATTTTAGAGACAGTACAAATATATATATATATATCACCGAAAATACCCATTGAGTCATGAAGAAAATAAAAGACAAATTCAGCTAAGAAAATTTTCTTTATCGACGAAATCATCTTCAGAGGCTGTACAGTCGTATTTACAGGTACACGAAAATATATAGTGGTCTATTATTGAGTAATAGGGGGTGAAGTAATTGATATAATTACTCAGAAGTGGCTTTAGAAGTGAAAATTAAAAGTTGCAGATTTCTATCTTTGTGCCGTTGAGTACCACATAATTTTCAACTTTTACGAAATGATCACGGATTGATATCAGTTAGAGAACCATTGAAAACCAGCATTGGAGTACTGGACAGCTGCTGTTTCGTCCTAGTTTGGGAATCATCGGCAGTACGTACCCACTGGGATTCGAACCCAGGGCCTTCCGATTACAAGGCAAGCTCGTATACCATCCAGCCACTGGGACCCGATTCAATGGCTCATGAATTCTAACTTCTACCAATTCGTGATTTAGCGCGACCCCAACCATTGTCGTTGGTGGGACATCCATCCACACACGTGACACCTAATTGGACCTCACTGGTCACGACTTCTCAGCTGTCCAGTACTCCAATGCTGGTTTTCAATGGTTCTCTAACTGATATCAATCCGTGATCATTTCGTAAAAGTTGAAAATTATGTGGTACTCAACGGCACAAAGATAGAAATTTACAACTTTTAATTTTCACTTCTAAATCCACTTCTGAGTAATTATATCACTTATGTCAACCCCTATTACTCAATAATAGACCACTACATATTTTCGTGTAAGTGTAAATACGACTGTACGGTCTCTGAAGATGATTTCGTCGATAAAGAAAATTTTCTTCGCAATATATATATATATATATATATATATATATATGCTCAAACCAAGTTCACTTTTAACAGTTTGAAAAAATTTGGACATTGGGTATATGATATTCATTATAATAAAAGTTTTTGTATTCCCCAATGAATGAAAAGGACAAAACGACAATGTTGTTGTGTTTACCGACATTTCGCTATTTAATGCTGCTGCTAATAGCTTTATCAAAGTAGTATTGTTAAACCCGAAGAATTTACAAAATCCACCCAGCTTATATATAACAACTTAATCATCGTTCCTCATCAGCATGGGGTCATTTTCGCTTTGTCAAACTGGCCAACTGGTAAAGATAAAAAAACCAGGTGTGTGTAGATTGTTGGATTTGATAAGTGTGTAAAATTATAAAAGCAGCTTGTGTTTACATAATGAAATTGCTTATCACATTCGTGTTGATTTTGTCATTTCATGGGGATGTTGTAATCAGATCAAGTTCTGTTTTAGTCCACAATTCATTCCTATTCAGACAATTTGGATTCCATCTGATGATATGAAGTGCTTCTGATGATCATCCCATCCTATGTCAGTGAAAATAGGATTGGTGAAATGTTTAAGTAATAGAGAACAAAAACTGAGTAGTACCAAGGAAAATCTAAGACAGAGAGTGAGGCTTATAAGAGAAGCTTTGAAACTTAATAATTACCCTGATATACTAGTCAGAAAGTATGTAGGGAAATGTAAAAGGAAAATAAAAAATAATAGTAGTGATAGTGATAGTAATAATGACAATAATAATAATATTAATGACAACATGCATGTCAAACATACACAGGATAATGATAATACCAACAATAAGGAATCTAAATCATCAGCAGTAATTCCATACAAGGAAAGAACCTCGGAAGCCTTACGCAGAATTCTTAGCAATGCTGGCAGGAATAAAAGTGGCTGGCATTCAAACCCACAATCTCAATTAGAAACAGGCTTTCTCGGTTTAAGGATCAATCCTGTGGAGCCTTTAAAACAAAACAATTTAGTTTATCTAATACCCTGCTGTAATGATTGTCAGGTCAAATACATAGGTCAAACTAGTAGAACAAGGGCAGTCAGACTAGCCGAGCATAAAAATCTAGCAGTGAAATCTAGATTAGTTGACTCTAATAAGATAAGAAATCTGGAGAATAGTTCAGCCATAACACTGCATGCAATTACACACAACCACACAATAGGATTATAGGATAAGATGACAGTTTTAAAATCTAATGTAACAGGGCGGAGAGAGGGAGTGATTGATAACGGAAGCTTTGTTTATCGAATCAACTGCAAACACGTGTAATAGAAACGACTCAAAACCTGTCTGAGATATCGGGAAAATCCTACTGCCCCTACGACAAATAGGAAAGAACAAAGAAAACTATAAAACTGAAGATATTGGACGTTATTTGTGATTTCTGAAATGCTTTTCTGGATTATTTCAATACTGTTAAAATCAATTTTTTGGCCTGATTCTATAGTGTGTCGACGATGCATGGCTGATGATCTTTCAAGCTTTTCTAGTTCAACTGGATTTCTCGGTGGTCGGATGGAGGTGGCTCTACGGTGTTCATTTATTCTGATTGCCTTGATTTCTCACTTATCAAATCCAATAATCTACACCTGGTTTTGTCATCAGCACAAGTTCACATTGACAAGATATTTAAGAACTTCTTCAAAGACCATTAATCCCTCCCCCTCCTCTTCATTGTTACAGTCATATTGAGAAAGAGAGAGAGCATCAAACTCCCTTAGCTGAATGAGTAGGTGAGTCCCATCTAGGGATATTTGACCACGTAGAGAAACTAATAAAATAACCAACAGAAAGACATTACTTGGGAATCAGAGTTACAGGTTTCAGACTTTCCTAGACTCGAAAGCTAAGAGTCACAGCTACTGTGTGTGTTGAGGGTCAATGATACTATCCATATGCGCTAGGCTGAAGAAGGTGTGGCCGAACTCAAACCCGAAAACGTTTATAAATCAGACATAGGCTTGTGAAGTCATTGACTATCTCAGTATATATAAGAAGGGATGCAAGTCTTCCTGTGATAATCACAGGGGGATTAGCTTGACCAATATAGTATTTAAAGTTCTAGGCTCAATAATCACGGGAGAACCAGGCAGGCAAGCAGGCTTTAGACCAGAAAGAGGGTGTAGTGATTATATCTTCACTATTCTTCGACAGATTCTGGAACATAGGCATACTTACCGGCATTCAAAAATTGTCATATTTTAGTGTTGGTTTGCAGATATACTTGATTTGATTGGTAACAGGATTTTATTATGAGCTGACATTGGTTAGAGAACCATTAGAAAACCACTAGGGAGTACTGGACAGCGGTTTCGACCTAGTATGAGGCTCTTTATCAGTAATCCACCCACCACTAGGGTTCCAATACACGACCTTCCAGTTACAGGGCGAACTCGTAGACCATTAAGACACTGGGAACCAATCTAATGGACAGTCCATGTCATCGGAGAGTATCCTAACACCTGACTTGGTCCCACAGGTTCGAACCCCGGCGAGTGTGTACTGTGAAGAGCCCCAAAGTGAGACGAAACAGCTGTATAGTATTCCCTGGCGGTTTCTCAATGGTTCTCTAACCAATATCAGGTCATGATGAAATCCTGTAACCAATTGTCATATTTCTTGACTTGAATGAGGAATTTGATTCCCTCTTCAGAAAGCTATTACGACAATGTTTGGCCGTGAAGGCATCGTGCTGATCAATGCACTCTACCAGAACTCATGCAGCCAGGTAAGAGCCATCTGAAATGATAACAACCATTGGGATCTGTTAGGGATGGCAATAGTGGGTGATTTTTGGATGCATGGAAACAGATGGTCGATGAATTAGAGCAGCACATGTCCGTCAGATATGTCCAACGTCCCTATTTCTATTTAATCTCGACATAGACGTACTAATGGAATTAATAACAAGTGACTTCAGAGATTTTGGGAATTTAATGGCTAACAGAAACCACAGTATTCGGGTTGTCAGCCAAACTTAATGTGTGGGGGCTAATGACACTACCCAGTTACCCAAACTGAAGTAGATGAAGCCGGAGTGGAACCCAGGACTCATTGACTGAAAGTTCGGTGTTTAAGCCAATGCTCTAAATCTTCACTAAGAGACCATAGAGAGTGAATACGTCTGAGCCATTGACAACGAATTTGAACCATGTCATTAACTGTCTCCAGCAAGTAATTCTTAGCGTCAACCCAGACAGGTAGTTTTCACTTCCTTACAAGACTTCGTAGATTGACCACTCCTATCAGCTCTTTCCAATCCAATCTTGACATGAGCAATCATCGCAATCGATGCAACTTCATTAATTTATCAGTTAGACTTCTCTCTTTACCTAACAGTCCATTCCTAACCCGAATAAGATTGGTCACACACACTATCGTACTTAACGCAATTCGGACGTACTATGTCTAACACAGCAACGCAACTCAGTAGGGAATGAGTCACAACTGATGTGTAACAGAACTAATCAGTCAGTGAGCTTCATGTCCATCCACTACATATCTCAAAACACAGCCTTCCTTCGAGATAAAGAAACAACAATATTCACAGCAGCAATATATATATATATATATATAAAGACAGCTCAGGATGACCTTTAGCAACCGTGTTCTCCTACTTATTTAACTAATCAATGATTGGTTTCAAGCTTGACCACAGATCGATAACAGTTACAGAACCATTGAAAGACAGCCATAAGGAGTACTGTCAAACAGCTGTTTCATCCTAGTTTGCAACTCATCGGTAGCATGCACCCACCAACAAAGTTCAAACCCAAGACACCTTCCAGTTACAAGTCAAGCCTGTAGACCATTCAACCAACTACTGGGAAGACTGGACTTAGTGACCAGCACATAATTCTAGCACGACTGGCACCAACCAATGTCATCGGTGGTGTATGTTTATCCTCACTCCCGACCGGATGGACTATACTGATTACAATTTCTCACCGGAACTCCAGACAATTTTAGCATGAAGCCAGTCATTTGCTAGAATCA